GAGATAAACCCTAGACATGGCCCAGAGCAATGGAGAAATTTGTGATCTTGTAAACACTCTCTGGGAAGTCTAGAAATAACAAAAAGCAGGGGGAGGAGAGGGGCTTGACTTTCTGTAGTTACCCAAGGTGGAAACTGAACTAAAGGAGAGGCTGACTGACCCTAAACATTGACCTGTTGTTGGCCCAGTTCTTCACTTATCACCTTTCATAATGAGGAAATCCTTTCTGATCTCTAACCTATGGCATTCTTATTGTTATTAGAACTGTCCTCCTCAGTTTTCTTTCCTTTCTTTCTTTTTGATGGCTCTTCTCACACATGAAGATCTCCATCCAGGCTACTTTTGTCTCCTTTTCACCAAAAAGGCATGAAGTACAAGAGCTTTGGAGCCATCCAACTCAAGCTACCAATCACAGCTCTGCCATATACTATCCACATGACCATAGCCAGAGTCCTTAGATCCCCTAAGCTTCACTTACAAAATGGAAGTGGCAATACACAGCTCACAGGGCTGTTGTGATAAATGAACGTGGTGGTGTGAGATCAGTGTCTGCAGGAGGGCTACCAAGACAGGCCTATGCCCTGGTGTTCCTGAGCTGAATAATCTCATTTCTCCCTTTTTATTACTTAGGGGCTCATTTTCAACCTTTTAGAGCAAGTTCTCCTTTTCACCTCACCAGAAAACAAATCTAGGGCTCCCTGTGTGTCTCCTTTTACTTCTAATGTGATATGCATGATGATGTGGCATTTCGTTTCAGACTGGTTTCACCTCTGAAATCCTGCCACCCAGGATCAAGTGCCTGCTTCTCCTCGGTGCCTTTCCTGACTCATCAACAAATAAACCAAGCTTTCCTCTTTCACTCAACAATCTAGGCCAGATTCTGTGCATCTGCCAAGCAGCCCCTGTGGGGAGGGAGTCACTTCATTTCTTCTGGATAACTCTCCTTGAGGCTAGAGTGGCTCTTTGTACATTTCTGAATGGGCCCTACAACACTGCCCTGCTTGCAGTGCTCAACAACCACCATAGAGGAAAAAAATCCCCAGTGATAACTTCACGGGAGAGCAAGCACTTGGTTATTAACCCAAGAGCGACCCACGCTCATGGGAGAACATCAACTTCCTGTAGTTCTCAGTGTTTTCCCTCATGGTATAGAACAGATTTTCTGACCAGATATCTTTGCACACTCAGTCTTACTTGTACACTTTGTACACAGTCTGATAAAGTAGGACCTTCCCTACTTTATCCTTGCTTCCATTTAAGTGTTACTCCAAAAGGTTTAGGAAGAGCTGGGGAGACTCTAGGAAACTGTCAAAAGGAAGCAAAGTAGTTTCTTTTAGATTTCACGTAATTAAGACTAGAACTGCCATGTGATCCAGTTATTCCACTTCTGAGTATTTATCCTAAGTATATGAAAACACTAATTCAAAAGATATATGCACCTCTGTGGCCATTCAGCGCTATTTATAATAAGCAGGAAATGGAAACAACCTAAGTGATGGAAGAGTGGATAAAGAAGATGTGGCACATATAACAGAATACTACTCAGACATAAAAGATGAAATATTGCCATTTGCAACAACATAGATAGACCTAGAGGGTATCATGCTAAATGAAATAAGTCAGAGAGAAACACTGTATGATTTCACTCAAGTGTGAAAAATAGGCAAAACCATCCAACCAAAAAAAAACAGTTCATTCAAACAAAATGGTGGACACCAGAGAGACAGGGAAGAGGGGCAGGTAAAGGGCGTCAATTTTATGATGGTGGATGGAAACTAGACTTTTGGTGCTGATCATAATGTAGTATATACAGATGTCAAAATATAATGTGGTATACCTGGAGCCTATATAATGTTACAAACCAATGTTACATGAAATAAAAATTGGGATGGGAAAAATAAAGATTTCCTTGTCCCAAGCAGTGAGGTGTAAAAAATATACATGCCATAACTCAGAAAACAGCTGAGAGGTTTACTCCAAGCTCACTGAGTAGGAGAGCAAGATGTGAGTGCTGGGAGGGGGATAGGCACATCGAAGACTGTAGTATGGGTGTGGGTATGCAGATGTGTGTGCACACACACACAAGCCCATGCAACTTCCTGAATAACCAGAAGGACTGACCACAGAGGCCAGGTGCTTCTCTGCCTTCAGTCTGTGCGGCCTGGGCTCTTGTCTGACAGGCTGCTGCGCTCACATGATAGTTGCTCATTGGAATGCTACTTCCGGGCCCTACAGTGCAGTCTACTAGCTTTGGTCTGCTTTTCTGGCATGCTTGCTCACTTACGTCTTCTGCCTCCCCGCTCTCCTTGCAGTGCTAATATCTGTGATTCAAATCACCCCACTTCTTCAGCTGTCCATCCTCTTCCTCAGAATCCCAAGTCACTCAGGAGTGTCTTGATAGAAACCCTGATGTTTCTCCCAGCCATGTGCTGCCAACAGTAACAATGACTACTTTCTGTTTTTTTTTTTTTTTTTCTAGTAACCACACTGGCCTTTGAGCCACATTTCCCATGAATGTGTCACAAGGAACCTATCAAATGTTTATTTATGTCAATAGGTATTAAGTCTATTGTGTTTTCTGTAACCACTAAGCCTTTTATCCTGATGTGGGAAGAAAAGCAAGTTAATTTGGCATAATTTATTTCTGGCAAATCTATATTACTTTTGTTTAAAAATCACTGCATATCATCACGGTTTTTACGCACAGTTGTGATGTGTCGTGCGGGGCACACGGTACCTGGCACACAATAAGCAGCCTCCAAGTGACCGGAAAGGGCATGAGATGGGATCGAGAGACACAGTCCTGGTCCTAGCTGGACTCCTCAAGTTCTGAGCTGCTTGACCACTTGGAGTTTCCCCTGCCTCATTGGTAATTGGGGGTAGGGCTTGGCTGCATCAGTGCTCTCCCTCTAGAGTCCCACCTAAGCCTATCTGAATGTCTTTGAAGCTCAACAGTGAGGGGCACTCATCCACAACCGGGCAGCCCTGACCAATCACAATCTCGGGTGTCTCCATTTCCAACTGAACAATATCAACAGGGCAGGACCTCCAGCCCCTCTCCCATCTCCCTCTGGGCTCCTTTGTCCAACACTTCATGCTCAATTCACTCTCTACCCTGCCACCAGGGTGCTAATCTGATCACCTCAGTTTTCTGCTTAGAATGCTCCAGGAGTCACCTGCCACCTCCAAATTGAGGTCCCAGCTCCTCAGTTGGCTTATAAGTGCCTATACTCTGACCCTGTCCTGTCTAGCCAGCCCCTTCCCTCCTCATTAAAGGCCTTGGTAGTCGCCAGAATATACCTGCTTTGATACATTCTGCACTCTTTGTCCCTTTACCCCAAACTCCTCTCAATCCCCTGCCCTTTGGCTAGCTCTTATGTGTCCTCTGGGCTCAGCTTGGACATCACCGCCTCAAGGAAGTGTTCTCTAGTCCCAACACTAGGTGGGGTCTTTCTCTTCCATGCTTCATCTCTCTGTATTATAAGGCCCTGTCCTACTTACCACCACTGCCAGATTCTCAGTCACATAATGTTGGGGATCATGCCTTGCTCATCATTTTCTTACCTAGAGTGGTCCTTGGCATTTAGTATTCACTCACCAAATATTTGTGAATAAATGTGAATCAATGATCTCTGTTTACTGAAAGCTGTGATTATTTTTTTCTTCTCTGCCTGATGAATAACAAATGGGGAAAATTAACTATTTTATTAATATATTAATTTGTCTTTAAAATATTTTAAACAAATGGTATCTATGGTCATGGCAGTATGGGAGGAAGAATAAAAGAGTGATGAAAATGTATGGTACCATAATTCTAAGGTCCTTTCTAGATGATATATTCCAGAAACCTATTTGTTATAACATTTTGGATTAAGATTGGAAAAATATCTATAAACTAGAAGAGCAATATCAAGGGAAAAAGTTTAGCTTTGCAGATCCTAGGAGAACAAACATTTACCCAGTTTGCCTCTGAGCTTCCTGGTGGCCAAAGCCAGAAGGGGAAGAAATCACATATGCATGACTGCCTCACACTTGCTATAAAACATCTTTGTTTACAGCCTTCAGAGTCACCTTTCTTTTCTCCATTTCTCATGCACTCCACAAGAGAGAGCACTAGGAGAGACCACCCTACGCAAGCACCAGACACCATTTGCCAATGTCACCAGTCCCTGGTAGAATTAAACCTCACTATCTTTATAACCAAGAAGCCCTTCCTGAGCCTCCTGCTACAGAAGGATGGGCTTCATTCTGTTTACTCAGAAGTCAAACTACAGTTCTAGTCACAAAATAATGACTACAAAAGCATATACGAAGATGAGCTACACCATCCTACAGTCATGCCATTCCTGAGTCAACCTTTATAGATATAAGGAGGTGACAGTTAGTATTTATTTGTTCCTTCCTGGCTGGCATAAATCAAATGCTTATGAGATACTCAGAAAGCTAGTTCTTTCAAGGAATACTTACATAAACTTAAAAAAAAAAGCTCCTAAATTACTTTGTTTATAAATCTTTGAAATAGTGATTCAGTTAAAAGTATATGTAAACTGTGAATTGAAAAGTAGAAAAGTTATGCTTCAAATCTAATATGATTCCCCGTCATTCCTTTAGGCCACGTCAGACAGCACAATAACCATTAGTTTTACATGTATTTGTTCCCACTGTTTTCACTATTTAATTGTTGAAGTTAATCCTTTCAGCTCCTTTCTTTGCATTTGTAGCAGAGAACGGGGTGCTTCTCAGTGAATATATGTGGAGCAACTATCATATCTTACTGTTTCTATATGCAGTTGATGATAGAATATGTCCCAATGTCAGAGAATGTAGAAAGTATATGCCTCAATGAGATGTGGTCATTGTCCATACCAGGTGCTGTCTCTCTTTCTTGGCCAAGTGATGTGGCCTCTGGGCTCCATAGTGGTTTCTGCACCGGTCACACCCACCACTGCCACTGAGAGGAAGTCAGCAACAGATCTGGAAAGAGGAGGCTGAGGAGACTGTGGATCTTGCTGAAGCTACCTCTGACCCATTCTTTTCCTCATGGAAAACCAGACTTCTTAGTCCCTGCCTGGAATCACCTTACGCATACCTGCTTGGACTTCAGTCTTTTTGCTTTAAATCTTTGGAGCTGGTGTACCACAAAGACTCCTCTCTGATGTTGCTGGGGATGGACCTCAAGGGCTATCCCTGCCTTTGCCTGAATGTATGGGGCTGGAGAACAGCACGAAGCAGAAAGGGCAAGTTTGAACATAGCCGGAGGTCGATATAGCACCTGGCAGGACAGACTGCGCCTTGGCTTTCTCCAGTCAACTCAAGGCTAGACGCTGCCTCAGGTGAGTGAGAGTCCCTCGGTGGGCCAGGCTTATGGGGCTCAGGGCTCTGAAAGCCCAGCCCAGGTTTCTTCCCAGGTTCAGGCCTCCAAGCCTGAGTCCTAATCCAAGGCTCAGCCCAGAGACTGAGTCGTGAGTGGGGCACAGCCCTTGTGGAACTGGTGGGGAGGCAGAGGATGCTATCTGCTCACTGTGAGTTCAGCTGAATGGCTGAGGTGGCTTTGGTTGTGGAACCAAATATCAGGGTCTGATGCCAGGGCAGGCACCAGGAAGATAAGGTCTGCCTTCACCCTGGGCCTGAGGACAAGGCTGTGAGGTCCTTGGGACAAGAGCTGGGGGATCTTGTGGGTTTTGTTCAACCCTTTTTCTCTCACAAAGGAAGTGCCCTTTGTTTAGAATATAAAAGTCACACCTTCTCTCTCTGCCTGAAAAGCAAATCCTTTCGTAACAAAATTCAGATTTGTTTGATTCTGTAGTTTTCAAAGCATTTCCCTACCTATTAGCTAATGTAATTTCATCATAACTCTGTGAGAAAGAGAACGATGATTGGCTTTATTGAGTGTACATGAGCCTCTTTCCAGCTCTTGCCATCCTAACCACAACTCTTGCTGCAGAGCCGTGGTTCTCAGACCTGAGTATGCATCAGAATCATCTGGTGGGCTTGTTTAAACAGATTGTGGGACCTAGCCTCAGAGTTTCTGATTCATATGGATTTCTGGGATGAGCTGGAAAATTCGCATTTCTTTTTTTTTTTAAGATTTATTTATTTATGCATATAAGAGCTAGGGTGTAGGCCAGAGATGCAGGGGGGTGGGGGTGAGTGAGAGAATTCAGCAGAGACAGAGTGGGGAACATTTCTAACAAAGTCACACAGGGTGTTTTTATTGCTGCTGAAGAACTGGTGAAGGGCTTGGGTTTTCTTCCCAGTCTTCGAGATGTTTCACTTCCAGGCCTTAGTGCTTGGGAAGGATATCTAGAGACCCAGGTGATGCTGGTGCTGCTGGTCAGAGGACATACTTTGAGAATGACTGAGAGAGATGCTATGCCTCCCAATTTGTAGTGGAGAAAATTGAAGCCCAGAGAAGTTGTTACTTTCCTAAGATCATGCAGACAGAAAAGCAGCCTAGCAGTTATTCCTACACAGGTCTGCCTAGTGTGGGGTCTGCATGTTTTCCACATCCACTTCATGGTTTTCTGCCTCACTCTGCTTCCCATGCGACATGACATTGTGCCTGCTTTTAGGAACTAGGCTAGCTTCCCTATCTTTTGCCAGCTGCTAATGCCACTTGTGAACACTAGCATGCAGGCATTTTGGTAGCTACAAGCCAAGAACCACCATGACACACACAACCCCCATTTGTGCAACTCTGGAAAGAGAAGAAAAAATTATGAGTGGGTGGACGATACCATATCCAAACAGATCCTGGATGTCACAACTTCATCTAGAAGTAACTGGAACTATAGCATGGGTTTAATAAATGGCGGTGGTTTGGAAGGCTAGCCTCAAGGGAATTGCCCAAGATGCAAGAATAAGGTGATATAGTTCCTTGGTGTGAAAAACGTGCTCTGGCAGTTCCTTGCTCTTTTTCCTTCTTGGGCTCTGTGCCGATTCTCTTTCATCCTAAAGGTGGCAATGGGAGTAGGGGAGAAGTTGCTGGGGTGTTTGAATTGGATAAGCCTCTACCTCTGGTAAAGACAAGAGGATTCGTTAATTAAGTCAATCTTTCAATTGCTGGTCTGGTGATGCCCCTGAGCCCTCACAGACTCAGGGAGAGGTGGGACTCACGCCCCAGGAGGAGGGCTCTGCTTTCCATTCCCCTTCCATTCCCTCCTTTGAAGGTTTGTTTTAGTTCCCCCAAATCTCTGGGATTTGGGGATCTGTACTTCTCTATTTCTAAACTAGGTCATATCCAAGGAGCACCCAAGCAATAGTAGTCTCCTTAGGGATGGGGCTCAGTGCCCATTTTCTGCCCACATGACATGTTTTAGGGTTATTAATTCCAATATAGGAATTCCTTTTGGTTGTACTGTTATTTGGAACATACTGGTGTTGGCCAGGGTGGGTGGGGGTTCTTGAGAGAGGACTAAAAACTGTCAGGGTAAGGATGACTCTCCCAGCCAGTTGGAATGTTTTAACTCTTTTATTGAACATCATATACATATAGAAAAGTGCATGTATCAGAAAAGGACAGCTTGAGGAATTTTCATAAACAACACAGCACCCTCACCAAGGGATTGAACACATCCAGCACCCCCACCTCGTGCATCTTTCCAGTCACCTCTGCCCCCCACTATCCTGACCTCCAACCACACAGATTTGCTTTAGCAGGCTGGAGTTTGTCCTCAGCTCACATGACAACCTGACATGCATTTGTCCTCCAGTTCAGAGGTGGTTCAGAGCTGGGGCACAGCGGGACTGATTTCCAGTGGGGTGGGCTCACTCAGCAATTCTGAACCTAGCCCATATCCAGCTACTGCTTCAGTCACGCCAAGAGTGCAAGGCTGTGTCTTAGCCATCATCAGATGGTCTTCCAGTCTCCAGGGGGGCTGTGCTGGAAGTCACTCTGTGACTCAGTGTGGAGTCGGGGGCATTCTCTCTACATGTGCTTCTAGAAGTCCTACCATGTGCTCCTGACAGCCAAGACCTCTGGAGCAGGATGACTCAGCAGCACATACTTGCAAAGCAGCTGAGGTCTGTGCCTGGGAAAGTTAGCAAGTGGTATTTGGTTGGACTTGCCTGATTCATGTAGTCTCTCCCCACCCCATCCCATGCCAGGCCCTCTGTATACATGTGTGACTCTGACACAGGTTCCAGCCTGAACCTGTTTGCCTCCTTAACTGTTCTCCATCAGTCCTCCTTCACAAAGAGCTGACTCCACATCACATGTTCATTCTGCTAATAAAAAGCCAAATTTACCTTGGTGCTCACCCCATGCATGTCATGCATCACTAGACTCTGTCCTCTGCTTCCTCAGCAAAGAACTGCTCTAATTGGGTAGGAAGGACAGAGGGCTGGCCAGAGCTCGTGACCAGAAAGAAATGCTTCTGGACTGGTGGGTATGGTTGGATAGAGAAACATTTACTTGGAAAGACCATGTCATGACTAAATGGCACACCTTCCCACACCTTCTGGACAGTGTCTCTCTGCTTCTGTAACCATCTCACTCTGGCCAGGGGTGCTGTCACAGAGAGGCAGGGAGCCCTGGACAAACTCCATCTGTATTTCCACTATACTGGGAGGTCAGTAGAAGAGGAGGAGTAAATTACCTCTGACTCAGACTGAAGAGGTCTGATCAGTGGGACTTTTAACAGAGCATGTGTAGAACTTGCTTGTATGTGTGAAACAGACAAATCTTTCAGGTTTCCCCCTCACCACAGGTCCAGGCTAAGGTCCAGAAATCTGCATATTTGGAAACCTTTCCAGATTATTCTGATGTAGTGACCCCAAACCATAGTTTGAAGAACACATAATCTAGACAAGTCTTCCTCAGATTACAGACAAAGAAAGATCCAGAGGGTCCAAACAGCCTACTTGAGATCATATGGAAGAAGGCGCAGAACTCAAGTCCTTTCCGTGCCTGCACTGCTTCTGTCACTCTCACACACTGAACCTGCCCAAGGGCCCAGAGGCCCAGACTCTATGAAGTTTTCCTTTGTCTGGTCTCTTCCTCTGTCCTTTCCTTCCCTCTTACTGCCATTCCCATAAAATAGATGTTAAGACACAGAATGGGATTCTACAATGACCAAATACCTTTCTGCATACTCTATCCTTTCCCCTCCACCTCTACCACCAAGTCCCCCCCCCCAAAAAAAAAAACAAACACATTTTACTCCAGACCTGTCCCTTCATCTACAGGACAAAGTGGAAAGGGCCTGACCTGTCCCTGTTTGTCCAGTCTATCTTTCTGACCTCACCTTACTTCCCTATAGGTCCTTCTCCAGTTTTCCCTCAAATATTATCTTGTTCTTTCTTGCCTCTCTCAAGTGATGCCATGTGATGTCATCATCACCTTAGACCACATCACTTCCTCCTCACCACCATACTGAATCCTCCCAACTTCCAAGGCCCAGGTGAAAGCCTTCCTCCTCCAGGAAGCCTTCTGCGACCATCTAGCTGGTCCGCCTCTAAGCCATCACAGCATCAACCATTCATTTATTATCCTTTATTATTACCTATACTACTTTGAATTGTGAAATGTAAGTAATTCCTAGCTAAAAAATCACATGTTGCTCACTTAGCAACATGCCTTCTAGAAGAACAGAACAAGAAAGAGTTAGTAATAAGGGAGGCACACAGTGCTAGAGCAAAGTCCTGTAGGTAACTGGTTGATTAGTTAAGTGATTTTTCTATGCCTCCTGGGCTAACAAATATCCAAAGGCTAACTTTTGCTAATCCAAGTTAGATTTTTCTCTGGATTCTGCTTCTGTGGTAGTAATCAGTGTCCCTGCTTGTCATCACCCCTTCTGTGCCAATAAGACCAGTTCCACCTTGCTGTTTGCCATAACAATCTATCTTGCATATTCCTTGTGACTCTGCCCCTAACAAGACATTATTAACATTCTAGCACTCATCAGTGGAGCCAGGTGCTTGCAAGACCTCCCATTCCCATTCCAGCTGATGGCCAAACTTCCATTTCATTGCAGTACACCAGCAGAGCCATTTTGAAGTTGCTTATCTCACAGGCCTGCCACAGATGGCTGATGCCATTCTTGATCCAATCCCACAGACACTGTTACACATTTAATGCCACCCTCTTTATTTAACACATACCACCTCTTTCACTAAGGACTAGCCATTACCACTGTGTCCATTTCTTGGTCATAGACATGGCAACAAGAAGTTAATTCCAGATACACTGACAGCTTAAGTTCTAGGGCCTGAGCCAAACTTTCATAAAGGAGACCTTTTCCTTGTTTATTGTGGGATTAATGTTCTATAGAAGAGAAAGTCTCTCTCCTTCAAGTATCCTTGCATCTGGGGCTTACCTGGGCATCATCACGTGGGAGGTTTGGTAGAAATCCTTGCAGGAATCTAGAAGCCTTAACATAAGTGCTGTATGTAACATAGGGAGAGCTCGTTTTTAGAGAAAGCTTTGTACTCTAACAACACCAGAATTGCTTTCTTGACTCTCCAAAATAATCTCTACAGACCCTGATATTCCTAACTTTCTCATTAAATACATCCATCTCATCAAAAAAGTATTTAAGATCTCTACTTACCAAAATAGGTCCACTTGGATCCTGCAAAGAACAAAACAAAGTAAGTACTACTGAGCTTGAACAAGTTAGAGGAAAAAAAAATAGATTTTATTTCAAAACGGGTAAGACCAAAAGGGAGGTGGATGCCTAGAAATTAAAACTTTTTCAGAGTCTGTATCTGAACAGGGCCACTATGCTCCAGAGGAAGGCTTATACAGTGAGTTCCTCCAGGGGCTCACAGAACAGAGAGGGGCTTCTTGATTAGAAATTTCCCTGACATCTTTAGAGAAGCCAAATTTTATTATCTGCATGGGTAATGAATTCGCAAGACTCAAAAACCATCAAAGGCTGAAAGTGCTTTCTCCATCCTTTTACGTGCTTCCACCGGAGACAGCCTATCAGTTGATTGTGAACCATTTCACAGTCTGATTACATGCACATATGTATTTATATTCTTTCCCACCTTTTCCACACAAATATTGGCATACTTAGAAATGCTGATTTGCATCTTGCTTTTTCCCACTTAACAAAACAGACTGCAAACAGTTCACCTCAGTACATAAGCAGGAGAAGACTAATCTCAAAAGGGAACTTTTGCCTTGAGGGAGATGTCACCCTCCTCTGAGCTAGAATTCCAGTGATGGTAGGACTGTGTAGGAGAAGCTCTGTCAGGAATATAATGAAAGTCACCTACCATCTCCAACTCCACCCCCATCACACACAACCATCCTTCCTTCCTAATAGCAAAACATTTTTTAAAAACCACAGCAGAGCTATGCACTCATCACCCTTCTCACCCTGCCTGGCCTCCCTCTTCACACCCAGAAGGAGACAAGAGCCTAAATTGAGGTTCAGGGGGCCACAGAAAACATCCAGTGAAGGGACTCCTAAATCCCTCTCTCCAGGCTTCTCCAAGTGCCTCTATGATTCCTGGCCCACAGGCATAGCACTGGAAAAGGAAGCCAGCCACTTCCCTGGTGGGAGCTGGGCATCCTTGTGCCTGCCAGGCAGTCTGGTCACGTGTCCCAGCTGCATCTTTCCTTCCTGAGCCAATGGTGGGTTTTAAAAGTTAACAGAGGACTTTAAAAAAAAATTTTGATTTAATCTTTTATTTTCTTGTATTGTTTCATGTCTTTCCCTTGGTATTTTAAAATTAATTGTTTTCAATGTTCAAATTTAATTTGTAATTTTATCAAGTTAGACATGACTTAGAGAAACAGATCTACAAGGCTTATCATTAAAAAATATCCATCCCTCCATACCCCATGTCCTTTTTCTACTCCCTAGGGCAACCACCTTGAGTCCTTTCTAAATGAGTCTTTTTCTCTTCTCCCCACATCTCTGTTAAACATGCTGATATTGCTCCTTCATGATTAGCTCAAGTTTAGACATTATTTACTGACACCCCAACCTGGAAGAGAACGATGGAGGGCTTTTTCACATACGTTTTATGGATGAGAAAATGAAAGTCCATTGAGGTGAAGTACAAGATCATGCACCTGCTAAGGAGTATCTCTTCATATTTACCATCACTTCCCAGTAAATTAGAAGCTTTGACTCTCTGCCTCAATCTCTGGGGTGTAGGAGGTGGGGTGGGTCCAGACCCCTTAGAGTATCTGATGAATAATATGTAGCTTTTGACCTTAAAAATGCCCAGAAATTTAAAAGCACAAAGTTTCACATATAATTAGTTTCAGGAGGTCCACAGAACCCCTGAAACCTACTATGAACCTCACAAGAGCTGACAGTCCCAGGATGAACCTCTTGGTTCGCCTATGGGAAAATCAAACCTGTATGTGACCCCCAAGTTTACTACTTGCTCTTTTATTGAAACAGTAGTGCAAAGGAACAAAGAAGGCATTGCTTTGGGACCAAGCTATAGAACATTCAAGCTCTTTTCTGACCATTTTCCTTCAGTATTTTGTTTGAGAGAGTCATTATTAAAATACAATCATGGATTTCAAAGACTGAGGAAGCCAGATGATTGCCACCTAGCTGGGGAGAGCACTCGAGATCCCAGATATAAAATTCTACAAGTATCAGGAGAGTTCCCCCCTCATTGTTTCCCAGCAGAGACAATTTGCTCAGTGATCCAGGAGTCCCCAGGAAAACATCTGCCTCTGAGTAGTCCTGCTTTGGCCAGAAATTTTAATCACACCTGCCCCCAAGTCAAGTCAGAGCCTTAGTACCCTATATCTCCTACCATCCTCTCTAAACCTTGTTAAACTAAGGTTTCCCTTATCATTGGATCTCTCATCCTCAGATGAGGTTCAGCACAATATTTTGGAAAGCTCAGGGACCAGCATTATTGAGTACGAGAGACTGCAAGGGCGCAGGTGGTGACATAGGACAGGGACCTGCTCATGAAAAGCAGTGGTGCCCAGAGCAAGCTTTCCAACGCTCTTCTTTTTGAGAAAGCCTGCTTGGTGCTCAAAATTTGGGGCTTTGGGCATAATAGCAGTGTCTGGAGGTGCTGGATTTGAATGCTGGAGAGAAAGGCATCGAAAATGAAAGGGAGTATGGCCTGAGTTGGGGGTTGGGGGTCATTTGGATGATCAGGATCCTGCTCTTCATCAGCTCAGAACTAACTTTAGCTTCCTTTCTAGAAGAAAAGCATGTGTGCATGCACACACTTTATTTGGAAGTGGCACCTCCCAGTTGCCTGCCTCTAGCTTTAAGGACAGAAGTGATAACAGAACTAAACTGACCTCTCAAGTCAGGTGAATGAAGGTCACTGTAGCAGCACCTTGGTGACTGTGAGGTGTAGGTCCTTCCCCGAGGGAAACTCTTCCCTTCCCAAGAAGGCTATCTGTCTTATCTAAGACACTTGGGAGTTCAGCTCAGTACCTGTTAGAACCTGTAAGCCCAGTTTATACTAGGTAGGGAGAATGCTCTGGGTGCTCCCTGAGAAAATGGTATTGACAAAGATCCAGGTCAAGGGTTCAGGGCCTTGCCTGCTTCCTGTGCTGCGTGCTGGAAACTTCCCTGAGACAGTTTAAGGGCCCAGCTCTACACACCAGATTCAGGCAGAGCAGGCTCTGCAGAATCCATTGCAATGTTCCCCCTAACAGTCATAGCAGCTAAGAATTCCAAGGTTTTCTCTAGAAGACATTTGACTTCACCTTATTAGGTTTCCTCACTCTCTAATCCCCCAAACATGTTTTCTTGGACACTCATCAGTGCCAACTGTGAGAAATTTAAATGCTCTAGGCAAAGAGCAAACCAACTTTGGCCCCATTACTCAGCTTACCTCCAACCTTGGCTTAATACTGACACTCAACACCTCAGTGGTTTTTACTTTGACCTTGTCCCTTGAGGCAGTTAAAAAACCAAGAAAGCTGCAAGAGGACTAACAGAAATAAAAACTCTGTTCTTAGAATCTAGGGGTAGGCAGCCTGGTTGAGGTAAAAGTGGATTTTTTTTACTGCAAGCTTATACCCTAACTTGGAGAATCGGGTGGTGGGGAGATAGGAGGTAAAGGCAAGGAGGAGAGGGCAGGAAGAGAGGAGATGGCATGGAGGGTAGGGGGAGAGAGAGAAGGGAGGATGAGCTGCCCCAGAGTCAGGGAGTAACAGACTTCAGGGAAGAGACAATGAATCACTTTCTCTTGTGTAGCAGCTTGGACATAAGAGGGAGATTTTTAGTAAAACTTTGGGTCTCAGTTTAGCTGACTTGAGAGGGAAATACATGTCAAAATTTGAAAAAATAATTTCCATTTTTCTCTACTTTCTCTACCTACCTCGTTTCTCCTGGACCAAATAAGGGTGATCATCTCAACCCTATCATAGCAGCCAGTGAATTCAAATTAAATTAGGAGTAAAGTCAAAGCTACTGACAGCCCAGCTCCCCTGCTTTCCCTGACCTGCCCCATGGGCACAGTGACCTCTAAAAGAGAAAGTGGTTTTGAGCTTTTAAGCTTCCAGGCAGGACCAATTTCCCTCTACCACTGCCCGCCCAATCAGGGATCAGTTTTCAGCCATCATAGGTACTTTGACCCTTTTATAAATGTTTCACCCTAACCTGCATCCTGGAATTGCAGCACCTACAAATATCTTTACAACTTGGAGCAAACTCTGTCAACGACTGAAGCCACCATTGGTTACCACAAAGTGACCACCTACTCTCCCCCCATACCCCCAGAAAAGTGCTCACCCAGCTTTTGGAGAGGCAGGCAAGAGCTTGGCATCCTCCTCTTGTTCAAAGAATTAACTATTCTGACATTGACTGCTCACAGCAATTCACTGCCCAGACTGAACCTACAGTTCAGGTGCCCCCACCTCCTCCTGCCACACTATTCACCTCCCTCAGCCTCCAGCCCTTCAGGATTAAGGGCCTTAATTACCCTCAGAACTAAGGTGTGTGAGCACACGCACCCACACGTAGTATGTTCAAGGTAGTGGAGCCTTCTGGGGGAAAACAATGATTAAGGATGGGATACATCATCCCTTTGACTTGGACATAAAACTTAATGGTAAAGAGTTTTCTAAAGAGCGGCACCCGCCACCGTCTGCACTAGGGCAACTGCGAATGGTCCTGGCTGGTCACGGGCTGGGAATGCCACAGTCCTCTCTGCACGTGGATCAGGGCACCATATTTTAAATCCTGGTTCCCACTTCTTCCAGCTTAGCAAGTTTCCAAAGCACCCCTCTAGAACTGTGGGTGCTCAGAGAACACACAAACATTTTTAAAAGACACGGACTTCCCCCAACCACACACAGCAGGTCCCGCTTTCAAGGAAAAACGAAGCATCTTTTCTAAAACTGTCCTGTTTGAAACTATGCATGTCTGCTCCCACCAAGTGATTTTTGTCATTAAAGAGCCCTGCTGGAAATCCTCTACAGGTGTGGCTATGCCCTCAGGGTTATTAAGAAAGAAGAGGCAGAAACTTTACCGTTCAGCGGGGCCGGGCAGGAAGGCTGTTCCTTTAAGATCACGAGCAGCAGGACGGCCGCGGCGTGCAGGCTGCGGTGGGGCATCTTAGGCTGCGGCTGCAGGCGCGGTGCGCGGGCTGTGCGCGGTTCCCGCGGCTTGTAGATCCGGGGTTCGTCGGAGGATGGCTGGCTGGGCGCGCACCGGGACCACGTGCGCGCAGCCCGGACGCCTCTGCAAGCACGTCTGTTCTTTGGGCTCCTGGCTCCTCGCCGGCTGCTTTTATGGAGCGACTCAGCCCCAAACACATGATGTCATCGTGCGCGCGTGGGGGGGTGGGGGGACTAGAAGGCCCTGCCTACAGGAGGTCTGGCGCCCCAGTTCCAAGGTGAGCTGTAGCCCTGACTCCAGGGGAGCTTCGCAGGACAGCAACTCGGGCTGGCAGCGGGGACCCACCTGGGAACCCAGTTCTCTAGGAGAGCAGCGGGCAGGAGTGGGTGAGATCCGCCTGCCTTGGTACCATCAGGAAGGGGGCATCTAAGGATGCGCTTCGGTGGCCACGGCTTTGGGCTGTCACAGCCCCTATGAAGTAGCCCCTAAGTACAGTGCCGCTTGCACAGAAGCTTCCTTCAGGACGCCAGTCGTGGCCCTGCCTGCACTGGGTACATGTTAGGAACTGGATGAGAGCTGACGGGCTGCATTCAAATTCAGAATTTCTGCTAATTATACAGTCCATCCTGATAAGATTTTACCTTTGAAACTTAGACACAGAGAAATTAATTACAATTAGATGACAGTATGGTGGGTTACCCAAGTGAACAGTTACTAAAAATTCGCCTTTCCCTTAGTAACAGGTAAGCAGAAAAATCTTGTGTTAGTTTATAAAGCAAATCCATTCTCTAGAAGGGGAGGGCAAAGGGGTAGCAGCAGAAGAAAGGGAATACATTATTGAGCACCAACTGTGTGTCCGGTACTATAATGAAAATTTTGTATTAGATCACTGTCTAATTCACCACCTGTTGCTCATTTCTGCCCACTTTTGTCACAGATTGGTATTCTTTTCAATATGTGTGCCTGTGCTTATAGTAATGTACACATGTCGTGCCAATCCCCTTGATGTTTGATCTATGATCAGTTACTCAGTTAAAGGTCTTGTTGACCTGCTCCCCTAATGCTCACTAAATTTTCCAGCTGCTGTTGCTGCCACTTGCCGTTCCCACCACTCTGTCACTTGTGCTGCTGGCTCCCCTGGGTCCTCTGAGTGTCTCTGTACTACGCCTGGTACTGGTTCCGTTTATTTGCTCCTTTGTGACCTGTCTTGTTCTGTTGGCTCCCTGCTGCCTCTAGACATTGTACAGACCACATGGTCAGCGGAAGGGTGCTCACCCCAGCCCTGGTTTTGTGACCTAGCCATGTTAACCTTTTCTCTCACCTCACTCAGGTCTGTGCCGACCCTCGGCCTAAGTGGACTCTCAACTTGGCCCCCATGACTGGTGAAACCACTTGTATGCTGTGGTTTGGGAGGTTAGAGTAGCCTCTCTGTGAGAGCCACTCACAGTTCAAGGAATGATACTATTCCCGTAGGCTAAGCTGTTGTTGGGGTTAATAAAGGCCTGTGAAGTCTTTTTAAGGAAGAAGTTACAAAGACAATCTTGTTACAAGCACGACAAGACCACAGTAAGCTGAAAAATTACCCTTTTCTGCTTGTAACTCCTGATAAAGAGCCTTGAGTAAACTCTGGAGTGGTGAGCTTGTGGTTCTTATGACATTGGTGTCTCTGACCTGTCATCATGAGCTTTAGAAGACAAAGTGTACTAGAGCAATACAAGAGGTTGAGAAGGAGCCATTCAGGTTCAGAGATGCACATACTGAACCCATGGGGTGAAATCATTCATCGCACATCTCACTAGTTAATGGTAAACTGGGACATGCACTTGTACGTGTCACTCCCATTTCAGGCGTTTTCCCATTATGTGTGGTTAAACATTAAGTTCAGTTTCTCCTTGAACATTTATTCCTGAGGATCCAAGGATGCTCAGAGAATGAGAGATTAACAGGAAAAAAAAGGGGGGGGAGTGAATGATTTAATGGAACTATTAGGCAAGATTATGAATTGGTTTTGATGGAGAGAAAGAGGAGGGCTGTGATGTTTAATGCATGTCTAGATCAGAGACCTGGTTAATTACTAAAGACTGGATAGCAATTAAAAGGGAATTGAGAATATAAACTGATACCCCCTCGCCCTAAGTGTTTTGAATGAATTTTTTCCTTAATCTTAGGAGATCAGAGGGAAATAAGGCAAACAGAAATGAATGAAATGACCAAACTTTCTAAAGAATGACAACTAAATGTCAAGTGTCTTACCCCCACCCCCACCCTCCAACCCTTCCCCACCCAAATAGCATAACGCTAACCAGCACAAATAAATTCCAACTCTGAGAACCTTCCTGCCTGAGCTTCCTGACGCATATATGACTGAACAGGTGTGGACCTGCTTTGCCATCATCAGAGGGGGCTGTTGTCAATCAATAGACAACCTACTTCTCTGTCGGCTAGAGTAGAAAGTGGTCTTTCAGCACTCAAAATATGGCAGCCAGCCACCAAATAACACACCCAGACAGAAGACTCCAGGAAGCAGTTATTTTTAAATGTCACCATCTGAACATGAGGGTGAGGCTGATGAATCAAAGGGCAGGGGAGAATGGAAGAAAGAAATGTGGAATTTGTTGTCAGAAGGTTTGGGCTAAAGTACTTGGCCCAACACTAATTCCCTGGATGTCCTCGATGGGGGTTCAACCTCTCTCAGCTTCACTTTCCTGATTTGTAAGGTACAGGTTGTAATCCTGATTACCGGGTCACTATCAGAATTTATATATGGTTGGAATGAAATAAGAGAAATGGAAGCTCTTCTGTTGCTTCATTCATTCACCCCTGTATGCCAGGCACTGTATTTAGTCCTGGGAGAGTATGTAAACATAAAATAAACAATCTCATAAATAACTGTATAATTACAATTGTAGTAAGTGTGATAGAAGGTTGATGCATAACCAGGAGGGACTTACTCTGGCCTGGGTGGCTGCAGAAAGACATCATCAATGTGAGAATTAGGAGTCTGTGTCTTCATAAAACCTTTGAAATGCACAGTGAATGTCGGGCTCCTCCTCAGAGCTGGCACCATCTGGTGGTAAATACCACCTTATGCTTTACATAAGATATATTGGCCTTTCAGGCATAAGCCTTAGAATACAAAGAATTTTATTTCTTAAGGTAAGAAAGAGTTAACTGTTCAACTAGTGACACTCAGGTGGGAATGCATATTTGTATGAGGCCAAAGATAGGACTGGTGGGAGGAGAACTAATATTAATGGAGTACCTACTATTTATCTGGCACTGTGCTGGGCACTTTATTCTTTTATAAATATATAAAAGAATTATATATATATATTTACATCATTGGTTTTGTATAATGTATGCTTTCTCCTCTCAGGTGTAGTCCCTGTAAAATTCCCACCACTAAGTCACCCTTGCACCATTGCCATAGTCCCTTGTGGGCACTTTATTCTTAAAGCAGCCTGTGGGGAGGTTTGGCATTTTACAGACGAGGAAGCTGAGGCTTGGAAAAGTTCAATGCTTTCCTTGCACAAGTTTATGATACTTTTGAGTACAGAGACTGAATTCTCTACCCAGCTGATCCTCTGCCTCCAAGGCCCAGACATTCTCCTTTCACAGCTGTCCTAACAAATTCCTCACTTGAAGACAGTTTTCTTCTAGATCCCTCTGAGATGTGAATTCTCCAGTTTGTGAGATGACGTGACCATTTGTTGATGAGACACAGTGTGCCAATTCTGGCAAATAATGCTTAGCATGGGACACATAGCTGTGTCCTCCCCAAAACCCACAGGGTTACTGAAGGACACTACAGTCTGGGCCTGAGACTGTGGCACTTTGATTCAATATAATTCTACAGCAAAGGCGAATATGAGGCTAACCACATTATTCCTTGTTACATTAATGAACTCTGCTTTGCCCAAGGAAAGGGTATGTGGAGGGAAACAAGGAGAGAGAAGGAGGAAGGAAGAAGGAAGGAAAGGGCACATGGGTTACCTTTGGGAGAAACTCAGGAAGCAGTCAGTCAAGACCTGCTTAAACCCACTGATGCCAGTGTGAATGTCCAGGTCTTTGAAAAGCAGTCCATTTTGTAGTTTGATCCACATCTGCATCTTCATTTTTACAGTTGTGACTGAGAGGTATAACCTTCGTGTGAACCCTGGTTCCCCTGCTCAGTTTCAGACAGGATCAGTTGAAGGGCAATGTGCTCAAAGGAAGAATGCCGGACTTGTGGCTTTGCCAGGAATGGGCTCTGGGCCCTTAGCAAGTCTTTTGCTGGGTAGATGCCTTAGTTTTTTGATCTGTAAGTCAAAATAAGAATGTCTAACCTATGCAAGGAGGTGTGGGGGGAGGGGAGCGAGGGGGAAATGTGTTTGATAAGGTCAAAATGTGAAAATACTTTAGAGCCCAAATAAGCACTTGACATACATAAGGTAGCATTCTAAGAGTAGACTTGAAACAAAAGAAAGGAAGTCATTTTGATCTCAGCCTTGGTTTACTAATCTAAGACAGTGAAAACTCAACTCTAACAAGGATCCATAAATTCTCACTCAGCCCTGTCACCAGTTACCACAGTAACGACTCTGATCTGTTTGCTTGTCCACTGACTCTTTCAGCTGCTTCTGTTGAGAATAATGGCTTTTTGGAAGGACTGTTACAAAGTACTCTGCATGATTCATTAACAGTGACAATAATTTTAGATTTTATGCATAGGGAAAGTTAGCATTTTAAGTGAAAATAAACTTTGATGTAATATGTTTTACCTCTTTCCAGGTAAATTATTCTGAAAACCATGGTTAGCTGACACAGGGCTACTGAAGAGATGTAATTAGATACTCGACAATAACTCACAGTTTCTCACATCCACCTCTGCTTTCAGCAGCTGCTGCTTGGATCCCCTCTTCTCCAACTTCAGGGGTTTAGTCCAGATTCAGTTCTAATCTGAGGGACACTACAGTCTGGACTTGAGAAGCACTGTCCTCTCTCATTCTTGTCTTTTAATTACCAAAGT